ACCGAGTAATGAGGTGAGAGAATGGATCCCTGTTTTCTCACCGTGTGAGTCTTACGTGTCATTATTGATATGACTTTCATTTATGTACCCTTTTGCGACTTTTGACTATGTTATAAGGTAAGGGGTTGATGTTCTGCAACTTTGGTATGTTACCTGCGGTCACGTATGATTCGGCCTTAAGGGACATCACTGGGAAATCAGTTAATCCTAAACTAAATGGCATGAGGGCAAAGGGAAGATCATCTAGTATTACACCATTGTTGTATATTCACTGCCGGCAACTCACATCGCTCTGTATGAGAGGCGGATTGAGTATGAATTTATTGCAAGAATTGAGAGGGTCAAACATGCTCTTTTTGAGGGATTAGAGATGTTTTTTGGACCGGTGTTATTAGATGGGTTTGGGGTATATGAGACACTATTTCTGTTCTTTTTGGGTTGATGTCTCTATGCTGGCTCATTTTGAGTTTCTAGTGTAGAGCTCCCACATGCAGGTGTTCTCAACAGTCGTACGGTGTAGTGGCTAGTATGAGATTGGTCATTTTTTGGGGAGATTGAGATAGAGATGTGGCAGTGTCATGCCAACTCATGTGCGAGTGGAAAATGTTAGAAATTGGGCGCCCATGTGGCATGATCCTTTTCTGAACCTTTTGAACCTTATCCAAAGAAGTTTAAATTTGATTTCAAAACCTATTTGGATAACCACTCAGGATATCTATATGAATATATTGCAAGAATTGAGAGGGTCAAACATGCTCTTTTTGAGGGATTAGAGATGTTTTTTGGACCGATGTTATTAGATGGGTTTGGGGTATATGAGACACTATTTCTGTTCTTTTTGGGTTGATGTCTCTATGCTGGCTCATTTTGAGTTTCTAGTATAGAGCTCCCACATGCAGGTGTTCTCAACAGTCGTACGGTGCAGTGGCTAGTATGAGATTGTTCATTTTTTGGGGAGATTTGAGATAGAGATGTGGCAGTGTCATGCCAACTCATGTGCGAGTGGAAAATGTTAGAAATTGGGCGCCCATGTGGCATGATCCTTTTCTGAACCTTTTGAACCTTATCCAAAGAAGTTTAAATTTGATTTCAAAACCTATTTGGATAACCACTCAGGATATCTATATCTATCATATCAACTGATATGAATAGATTGATTATTATCCTATATATCTGATATAATATGGGATATGCATGATTGAGAAAATAATAACGTATGTCGTATGTTTTACCCATATACTGACTTTTATCCGCTGCGTTAATACTTTATTTTACAACATTTAACAAACAAAAAGGGGTTCAACTATCATGGCTCCACCTGAGCCTAGCTACTTCACTTGGAAGCTCCTCAAAAGGCTGACTGGGGTAGACTCGAGGCTTTCTCAACTCTGATGTTCAACTTGCCCACCTACATATATATATATATATATATAAATAGTGAGCTAGTGCCTAGTGGGCAATAACAGAATAAAGAGGTTATATAAATAAAGTTCGATAACATTGCCAAACTAGTTCTCATTAATCAATTCTCATTAATCAATAAATTTCATCATCGATATCTTTCATTATCAATTACGTGGCACATCCGTGAAGCGATAATATTCCAATGACAAAGGACCATAAAAGGTCAAGTCGATGGACCACGAAGGGTCAAACCAATGGACTCTATGTTTCAATTAATCCAATAACCATGGTATTGTTATCTCCAGACAAGGGCCTATAATCAATGGATGCCACATTATAGTTCAAAAGTGAACTTCATTCATCGATAGAAGTAACGTTTTAATAAACCATTCAATCAATTGCATATCAATTGCGAGTGTAATAACAACTTTCAAAAATAAATATTACATGAACATATCTTTATAAAGTGACTACTCACAGTGGTTTGTGTTGTCATTAAGCCTTGGATGTCCACCTGAACAAAGCACATAACAAAAGCCAATTGAGTACCATTTCATTTTAATTCAATTCTTCTTATATGTCTCTATGTCATTCTATGATTATATGAGTCCAATTGGTGTTTAAAAATGCTAGAAATGACATGAGGATGCAAGTATGCACTTAAAAGAGTTAGTCAAAATTTGCAGAAACTTGAGTACAACTTCCTTCGCTCAAGCAAGGGTTCAAAAATAAGGGTGGTCGCTGAGTAAAAATTTGGTCACTCGAGCGATCTGTAAACTCTACAAAAGTATTCGTTGCATGAATTTTTCGTTCGATAGACGCTTGACGGTCGCTCGAGTGGAAGGCTGAGTAAAAGTGGGTTCACTCGAGCGTACACTTTGTCCCTCGAGCCACCGTGCAAATGTCTGCAAAAATGCTGGGAGCATGAATTATATGCTCGAGCAAAGCTTTCCTCACTCAAGCGGACTGGTCGAATTCTTGAATTTCTAGAATCGTGTTTGAAGTTCAAACTTGATATTCAAAGGTACAAAACTTGTGTTTTTGGTACAAAAACTTGAAAAAACATTGTATAACAAGAAAACACTTCCAATTTGAAACCAATTACTCGAAATCATGGACCAACTTCCAGAATTAAGCTTAAAGCACAAGGTTGAACCATGCATGATATGTATTGCACTCAATTCTTTTCTAATCTTTTCAAAACTCTCATGCATGAGATGAAAAACGGTAGAACTATGAAATATCTTCAAAAATGTTAAACATAGCTTCATACATGTGGAAAATCCCATGAAATTCAAACTCCAATTAGTGATTCATGCATGCATGTACATAATTCAACTCAATTCTTCCAATTCAAAATAATTCATATCTCCAATCACTACAACAAAAAAGGTCTATGGTGACGAAAACGCATGACGAAAAAATATTTCGTCTCCAAATATACATGTTTTATTGATGAAAATAAGATTTCGCCTCCAATTGTACTATTTTTAGAGACGAAAACCAAATTTCGTCACCAAATGCTTAAAATCAAATAAAACAATTGGTGAGAAAAAATTTATTCGTCTCGAAATTTTATTTTTCGTCACAAAACAATTTCTCACCCAGGAAAAATTTGGCAGAAGATTTGGTGCCATTTTGGAGACGAAATTTTTCGTCACCATTGTAAAACAATTTTAGAGAGGAAATAATTTCATCTCCAAATGTATTATTTTTAGAGAGGAAAACCAAATTTTGTCACCAAATGCTTAAAATCAATAAAAAATAAAATTGAACCAAGAGATAGATATCTCTCTGTTTAGATGCATGTATTTTACTTTCTATATCTCTCTTTGTCACCCCCTCACCCATTCATCTCCGTCACACCGTCCGTCCATCTATGTCGTACTGGCCAACCTGCACGTCGCCGACTGGCGCTCGCTACAACAGGTATCTCTCTCTCTCTCTCTCTCTCTCTCTCTCTTCCTCTCCTTTCCTATTTTCACCTCACTCTCTTTCGCCCTATCATTTTCTCGCTTTTCTGAGCTCCGTCACCCCTCTTCTCACTTTTCCAACCTCCGTCACCCCTCTTCTCTATCTTGCTATCCTCCTTTTCGTCTCACTTTCGTTACACATTTTTTATCCTAATTTCACTACAAGAAAAAACACTTTTGACGACTACCATTTTTGAGTTGGTCGCAGATAGTTGACTTTTTGCGACTAACATTTTTTTGGTCACTAATGAGTTGTGTTTTTTGCGATCAACGACATTTTGGTAGCTAATAGGTAATTTTTTGGGACCAAAAAAAAAATTATGATCATGGAAAGTAATAGCGGGAGAGGGGAAAAAAAAAAACGGGATCTCAAAACCTTTGGTGACTAATAAATTGTATTCATAGAAAGGAAAATGCCATATTTTGTATCAAAACTACGTAGCTTTGAATGTTTCCTAATATTAATTAAATTTGTTATGATTTAAAATAACTATTAATAATCAGTTCAAAAAAAAATATTAATAATTAAATAATAAATTATAAGAACAAAATAATAATTATTTTTTAATAGAATTATTATTTACTGATTAAAATCATAAAATTTCTAAAATTTATTTATTTTCATTCAAAATATTAATTAAACCTTAATAAAGGTAAAATTACAAACATAAATAATAAACCTTAAAAAAAATATAAATTGAAACCAATTTTTACTACAAAATTTTACCTCAAATTTCTTCTCAATATTTGAAAAAAGCCCTTCAAAATTTTGCCACAATTAAAATTTCCTCATAAATACTCCCGGGTCCCAAAAAAAAGAAAAAGGGAAAAATAGAGAAAGACTAACGGAGATGTGTTCGAGAGAGAGAGAGAGAGAGAGAGAGAGAGAGAGAGAGAAGACGAAGAAGAGATGGAGGGAAAAGAGACCATGAAGAGAGGCAGAGGGAAGAGCAGTCCTTCGGAGTAACAGCCATTGCTTCACTCGTGACGGCCATTGAGTTGCTCAAGAAGTCCTTCGGAGCTACCTCCTTCGCAGCCTGGTTCGTCTTCGCTTCTCCCTCTGGTCGACGAAGACCCGCGAACGAAGCAAACGGGGCCGTCTCACCTCTTCCTCCGACCGGAGCTCTCGCACCTCTCCTTCCCACCGTCCAATTTCAGGTGCATGTTTAGATACTAGGGTTTTGAGTTTGATTTGAGGCTTTTCAATTTGAAAATTAGGGCTTAGGGTTTTTCAATTTCAAAATTTGGGGCTTTTTAATTTGGGGTTAGTGTTTAACTTGGCTGCTTGTTATGAATGTTTAAATGGGAAGACAAAAAAATTCCTGTTATGAGGGATTTCATTTCTGAATGAAAAAGTAGATACTCTGATTTCTGTAAATTTGTGTTTGGTATAGAAAGAAAAATAAATAAAAATTTCAGAATTCCTGAGCCTCTATGATTTGAAGAGTAGCTTCGTCCAATTCGATTGGTCGTTGTTTGATATCATTTGTCTCTTCATCCCTAACTCAACTGTCCCTCTTCTTGCTTCCTTCCCTCTTCCCTTCCTTCTCTCTCCTCTCTCTCTGCTCTCAGTCTCAGGTCCTCTCTCTCTCTCTCTATATATATATGAATATGTGGTTGAAGTGGTTGCTTTTGTTGCAGCTGTAGCACTGTTGGGAGTGACAGGTGCTGGGAGATGCTGCAAGAGACTTGTAGGAGTGGGAGAATCAGCGCCAGCTTTGGTTTTCTTCAATATTATATTCATTTGGGGCGTTTATATTGGATTGGTTCGACAAGGTCCCTTTTTCTTCTCAGTAATCTGTCTCTCTCTAGTCTCTAATTTGTATCCTCAATATGATTCACTGTTTGATTATTTTACGAATTTTAAAGTCTGGGTTCTGCATACAATGGGATTCGAGTGGTGGGTTTTTTCAATAGTCGGAGATGGTTTATTTATTCATCATGTACATGGTGTTTTTAAGGAATTTTTGGGTGTAGATGCCACGTGTAGCTTCTACTATTTTGAATTTGATAGTAGGGTCATTACATTTACGTTGGATGTTTGAGGAAAAATGAAGGTGTATACATTTGTGATTGATTGATAAAAGGTAGTGCTACGTGTACCCTATTAACATATAAAAATTTCTCAGTGTTTTCTGTTTGTTTGTTCATTTCTCTGTAAAGGAGTGAGTAATATATTTTTTCCAACCAGATAATAAATTATGTGAGAATGCTCAAATTTTAGTTGGATAGAGATGGATTATTGGTTGCTCATCATCGATATGTATCTACTTTTTCCAAATTGTGACTTGTATGGAATCCTGACATCCTTAAAAAAATTATCTTTTTTTCAGTCATTTCACCTTTGCTAGACGTTATACTCAATGCAGAGTTCTCTATGCTCGTGATTGGTCTATGCAGGTCAGATTATTGTTTCTACACTCAAAAATTGATTGCATTGATTTGTTCGTACAAAATCTAGATTTAAGGTTTGAAAGAATGAAATTTCAATCATTTATTCATTGTCCTAACTGTGTGTTTCTTGGTGCCAGTATCCTGACAACAGACCCTGGTTATGTTACAAATGAATCTTCCCATCATAACCAGCTTGTTGAGAGTCCTGTCTCAGTATTTGAAGCCCATTCTGAGGTTGAAAAATGTTGAGAAGCCCCTCCAATTAGATATGAATCATATGATTAACACAGATATTGAAATTATCTTCTGGAGCAGGAACTGGTGCCTTCAACTCGTGACATTCCCTATGAGTTTGTTGCTTAAGAAGTAAGCTGATTTCGGTGATTTCATCGGTTACAACATTAAATACCACTGAGTTTTGAGATCACATTTAATTTATCCTTTGAATTTTAGTTTTCAAAATTGGCTTTGGTGGCTTTGCTAGTTTTGTTTCATGTTTTGCTTCTCAAATATTATCTTGATTTATTACATACTAGGTAGTCAGATGTGATTGAAAGGAACTATAAATATCAACTGAAACTTTAATTATCGGGTCTATATTTCATAGCTTACAATGATCCTGGATTTCTGGTCTTTGATTTTTTGGAATCTGGATTCCATAGTGAAAAGCCGAAGGCTTTAAACGTAATCTAGTGACAATATGTGTTGAACTATCTAAAATTCTGTTGCGATTTGTCATAGCAAATCATTATTGATTGAAAATATCTCAGCTTTCTATCCATGTTAAATTTCTATTTAGCCACAAAATCTTAGCACTGCATTTACTTCTTTATCATTGAAATCTTATGTATCCTGAAGTCTTCAGTATTTATGCTATCACAGAATTCTATTCCACTTCAGAGAGTCAGATATTGTAGGCACTGCAAGGCATATGTAAAGGGGTTCGACCATCACTGTCCCGCTTTTGGAAGCTGTATAGGTAATGACAACATGCGGGTTATAGTTCTTTACATTTTTAACTACTCCAGACAACAAAAACTGCTGTGTTTTTCGTTCTTATTAAACTAGTCTTGGATTTGGTACAACAATGGGTCTTGCTGTCTTTGTGGATGTGACATTGATATCCTTTTAATGCAGGTCAAAAAACCCATGTCCTCTTCATAATCCTCCTTTTTGGGTTTGTTTTTACTGAGGCTTCGTATGTAGAATGCTCATCTCAATGTAAGCTTGAATATATTGGATACTGACCTGCATTAGTTTCAACAATTTATTTTTTTGGTGAAATTAATTATGCTAATTATTAATTTCAAGAGGATTCACATTTGCTGTATATCACTTGAATATAAAAAGGCATCCTCAAGTTTGATAAGCCTCTAGGAAATTGGCTCAAGTTTGTTGTCTGAATACTCAAAGTTATGCCTATTTATGGTGACTGGATAAGGCCATAAATTGTGAATACTACTGCCTATCATCTTTCCATTCATATGATGCTTACTTCTTTTTATGCCTTTGTTTAGAATCAGTTAGTATTCAGATCTGAACAATGAGGAAGAACTTTTTGTAATTGCTGTGAACAATCATTTCATTTTTACTCCAGTAGGAAACTGTTCATTAAAATAAAATAGAAACAAGGAAGGTAGTGGTGTTTGCTTCTAATACAACCGGTTGAGCCATGCCTTATTTAATTAGCAATGCTAGAGTTGTTATGATTTTCAACACCCAAATTTTCAGTTTAGTTTAATTATATTTCAAAGCTTGATAGGCATAAGTAATATGAACAAATGATGTAAAGAGTTTCCGCATGTTATCTCTGAAATTGAATAAACTTAATGAATTTGGTAATAGATTCCGAGTAATAAAATGTGGGGTGTGACAGTGAGCGAGTCAAATGGTTGAGAGAGAGAGAGAGAGAGAGAGAGAGAAAATGGCTTGGTCCAAATATATCAAGGGTAAAATAAGAATATGGGCTAAATTATTTTGGGTCAAGACCTCATGGGTATTAAGTCCGCTAAATTATTTTGGGTCAGGACCTCATGGGTATTAAGTCCGATTCAGTCGGCCTGTAACTCACCCAAGTTAATATGACTTATTACTATTGTTTAATATTCTTAAATATATGTGACTTTGACATTCAATCTAAAATGTATAATTTTGATCTTATCTTTTTGTTGATATTTTATTGAATAGATTAAAATGAACAGGTTTTTGTTGATGTTACCAAATGAACTGGTTTTGTAATGATTTGTAATGGATATTATATTCAGCAGGTTATCAAAATGCACAAGTTATTTTGATTGTGTTGAAGTTTTTGATTTTATTAGAATAGATGTTATAGTTTGGATGTTATATAATAATTTCTTGATATTATGAGACATGTATTTTGCTTGGGTTGTTTTATGATAATGAACAGTTTAATTTTATATTGATTTGTATTAAATATTTTATTTAATTGATTATTAAAATGTAAAGGTATTGTTTATTGAAAAAAATATATAAATTACAAATATAACCCTCCCCCTCAATTTTTAAAATTTATTTATTATTGGCGACGAAAAAAAATAGACACTAAAACTTTCTAATCTCAACAAATAATTTCGTCACGCATATTCACTATTTCATCACTAAATTAAAATATTTGTTGACAAGTTTTCGTCACTGAAGGGTCTTTTTTTTTCATCTTTTGGTGACGATATTTTTGTCACTAAAAATTTTATCGCTATTTTTAATGACGAAATATTTTGTCACTCAAAACAAATATAATAAAATTTTATTTAATTTTAGTGACGAAATGGACGTTATAGGTGACAAAATATTTAATATTTAGTGACGAAATATTTCGTCACCAAATACCAATAATAGGTGACAAAATAAATTTTCGTCATCAGGTACTTTTAGTGACGACGAATTGATGACGAACGTGGTGACGAAATTATTTCGTCACGGATCAATTTGGTGACGAAAATTTCACTATTGGAGACGAAGTGATTTTGTCATTAAAGTACCATTTTGTTGTAGTGAATGTACAATTACATGCAAATGAGCCTAAGGACTAGATGAATTCAACTTCGACATGTTTTATTTTCAAAGATTAAGGTTGAAAATCATACCTAAGGCTTGAATTCAAGTGTACTCTAGTTCAATTCTTCAAATCCCCTTCAATTCCTTCACAATTCTCCTCTCTCTCTCTTTCTCTCTCTCTCTCTCCCTCTCTAAGTTTTTAGTTCAATTCTAAGGTTAATTAGTTAGTTTCGATTCTAACTAAGTTCAATTAATTTATTTTAATTATTTTGATCCGAATCAAATTTTGACGAGTGTTGCCATAAAATTCTAAATATTTTATTTAATCTATCGGGCTTGTCAATTTTGGCTTCTAAAGCCGGTTAGGCTTTCAATTTCTGATTCTAGGTCGCTAAGCAAATAGATATTCCATGTAATAACAGATAACTACGAAATTAAACATGTATTCACACAATTAAACACATAATCATACAATTGAGCGTATTGAAACAATATAATATAATGGTACGGAGGTCGGAGTCGTCACTGTCACTACAAGAAATCTAGGCTATTGTGACAAAATTTGGTGACGAATTATTTTTTTGTCTTAAAATTTAACCCAAAGATGACGAAATATTAATTTTCTCGTTTGTTTTAATTTTTCTCAAAAGTATAGAAGACGAAAACAAAATTTTGTCTACAAAAATTAGGCGCCAATTTTATTTGCATTGGCGCGAATTATTTTAGCTCAATGGAGACAAATATTTTTGTCACAAAATAGAATTTTTTTTGTGACGAACGCAATTCGTTGCCAATAAATTCCATACCTATTAAACGATGTCGTTGCATATTTCCATTCATTAGGCGACAAATATTTTTGTCTGGGAAGGATAGGTTATGGAAGACGAAAATATTTCGTCACTAATAAACACTCCATCATGCAGACAATGTCATTTCATCTTTCTATTAAATAGGCGACAAATATATTTTTTTCTCGGAAGAATAAGTTGCGGGTGACGAAAATATTTCGTCACTAATAAATTTTAATTGATTGCGTGACGAATATATTTTTCGTATCATAAGGTTAAGTTGTGGAAGAAAAAAATATTTCATCACCAACAATAAATTCTTTGTTCTGGTATTTAAGGATACAAAAGCATTTTATCACTAATCATTTCACTTTATTAAAATGCCGTTGTTTTGTGTTTCGAGGCATTGAAACTGTGACCCCAAGAGGTACACTCTGACGCTTATCACTCATTTTCATGTACATGGACCTTGAAGTCGTGACCCAAGAAGACACTTTCTACAAACCTTCATTTCTCTCTCACACTTGAGTCTACTCCTCTCTCACAAGTAATGAAGTCGTGACTCAAGAAGACACTCTGTAAACCATTTCTTCTATTTCGCGCTAAAGCCCTTTTCTTCTGTCTCACACTTAAGCCCTTCGTGTATGCCAGCATTGAAGCTATTATCCAAGAAGTCACCCTATGCAAACCCACTATTCTTTCACAGTGAAGGCCCCTCTTGCACGTAAGCAATTTTTCTCATTATCTGAACCAACTCTACCCTTTCCGTCTAGAGCACCCATTTCAGAAAAATCGAAGGTCAAAACCTCTCTCCACAAAAAAAGAAAAGAAAAGATAATTGTGTAGCTATATTTTTTATTTTTTTTTGTGAGAAAAAATACAGAGAAACAAATAATAAAAAATTTGTAATTTTCAAAACTAATAGAAAACATTACCTTATTTAGTATGGAGTTTTCAATAATTAATTTTTAAAATTCGGTGATAAAATTTATTTTCGTTTTAGAACATAATCCAAACATGACCAAATATTACTTTTGTTGTTTGTTTTAATTCTTCTCAAAACTATAGGAACGAAAAAATAAATTCATCAGAAAAAAAGGCGCCAATTTTTTTTCTTGTTGGCGCCAATTATTTTAGCTCATTGGACACGAACATTTTTGTCACAAAATTTAAAGTTTTTTGCGACAAAAGGAATTCATCATCAATAAATTCTAAACTTATTAGACAACGTCATTTCATTTTCTTATTTATTTGGTGACAAATATATTTTTTGTCTGGGAAGGATAAGTCATGGAAGATGAAAATATTTCGTCACCAATAAACTTTTCATGCTCGTTTTATTTTTTTGTTAATTAGGTGACAAATATATTTTTGTCTCGAAAGGATATGTTTTGGGAGACAAAAATATTTCGTCACTAATAAATTCTCCATGTGTCGTATTGCATTTTGATTGATTACGCGACGAATATATTTTTGTCTCATAAGGTTAAGCTGAAGGAGACGAAAATATTTCATCACAAATAAATTCTCCATCCCCACACAACGTTGTTTTTGTATTTTTGTTG